TGCTGAAGCATCAGGCAGTCAGCAGCAGGTCTTACCTGCTGCCCTCTGGGAGAAGTTACAGCCATGGAGGCACTGAACATCTGGACTCGGTCTGGCCTTTGAACTGTCTCAACGGTCTAATGGGAGGTCTTGGGCCGCCTCCACTCCTCTGTACTCTTGCAAAGGCACGTGGCGCGACAGTCATAGGACTCTGTACAAGCAGATTCATCTGGCACCTAACTAGAGCTCTCATCCATCCACCATGATCCAGAGGATCGACGGTTGCCTACTACACTCCCCGGAGGGGATTTGCTCCGATTTAAGCCCATCACCACAGCGTTCACAGAGAAACAAACCACACAGGAGAGACTAATCCTAGCAGGACTTCCACTAGAGAGTGAGCATACCTGATTTTGGGGCAGAGGTTGCTCTTGGGAGAAATTACGTTACAATATGGCAGCGGTGGCCAACCCAAAGCACGCGTGCAACAAGTGCCTCAGGCAGCTGCTGTGAGACACAAGGCCCAAACACTCAAAAATGGGTGCTGGGATGAAGTCAGGAGGTCAGAGAGTAGGGATCAGGGTGGCGCTCAGGGGAGGGACATCCCAACCTTTTTGGGTAGGTGCACCACTACAGCAATACAGTACGATGGGTACTCCAGTGGAGAAGGGCCTCAATACGCTTCCTGGGTCACGTTTCTCTGCCACATTAAAATTAAAAACAGCTGCTTGGCTTAGCTCAGTTTTCTGGAAATGCTCCATCACGGAGGCATCTCGTCTGGCAACGAGCGGAGAAGTCCTAGCTAGCACTACAGGTGTAGGAAAAGGAAGGCATACATTTTGCATCTCTTCGGTTCCACTTCCCCACTGCTCTCCCCTCCCGAATGAGGAGAAAGCCAAGCCAGGCCCGGATGTGCTCTCAGTAGGACTAAGAACACATGCGATGCTTTTCAGCCGAGCTATTTTCCAAAGCATATCAGCTGCATTACATGTACGCTGCACTGATGGGCAAGCCTAGCTGTCAAGGAAAGGAGACCAAGCACATCCTTATTAAATCTGACAAGAGTTGCAGAGAAAAGGGGAATCTTCAGAGCCCAGATAAACTGGTACCAATTTTAATAAGGCATCTAAGTGCCCTCCACGACCATCTTTCACATTGGAAAACTCATGGCAAATGCTGCATTGCTTCATCACAGCACCCTGTATTTCACATCTGTGGAACAGGTGTTAACCTCGCTCTGATCTTGAGTATAACGTCATGGCAGAGGGGCAGATAAAACGAGATCAAAACACACGATTCAAAGTCCCCAGTTCGGCAAGCGCAGCAGAAGAGGAGGGACTCCGATTGAGAAACTGCTCCGGAGCAAAGCTGCCGAGGGCACGGGGGGAGCTGCTGGATAACGGTTCCCGTTAAGCGTGCCAGTTCTACGCCACGAGCATTACAACAGAGCACGCCTCAAGCTGAATTCTTGCAGCTTTGGCATGCGGGGAGCTAGAAATAGAAGGCTTTGGATTTAAGATCACACATGCAGAGATCAGCCAGCAAAAAGAAACAGTGCGGGCGCATGCCAGACAGCGCTGGGCTGCGACCTAGGGAAACAGCATCTTAAAAACACATTTGTCAACTGGGCCCGAGATGCAAGCGCAGACCGCCCATCAGCTTCTTTCCATAAATACGAGATTCTTGTGCTCATTCACTCCCTGCTGTAGATCAAGAGCCAAGCCACTTATTCAGCTCCTTGTAACCCTCCCGGCCGCCCTCCTCTACAGCAATGAAGTGTTTTTAGAGGAGAGTTATTGCCGTCTGTGGGACCTACCTTCCTGTTGGAGAGCATGGGGAGGGAGGGGGGTGGGGAAACTTCCTGCAGCACATCTCCGCATAACACCTTTCTCCTTGTGCACCGAAAGCTATAAATTGGATCCCTCTGACCTAAAACCTAGCGTGTGCAGGCTGCATGCAAGGGGATCCGACAGCGCCGGTGGTTATTCAAGGTCTTGTTGACAGGGCTAAAAACTGCTCTACTTTCACAAGCTTTTAAAAACAGTCCTCGAAGGGAGGAGCTTGCCTTCCACATACCGCTTGGTAAGGAAGCTCTGTTTGTACTGTAGGCGATTAAAGGACAGTCTAGGGGCACTGCAGTTCCCTTGGTTTGATTTCTGTGCCATTAGGCAGCTTTTTTTGTTGCTGTTTTTAATGACAGTCCAACTCCCATAGATCGATGAACAACCCGCCATCGCCTCCTGCCCCACTGCATGGACCAGAGGGCAGACGGAGTATGAAGTCATCCGCTCTTCTTCCGACACAACCCAGGCTCGCATCGCCTACTGGGGCTGATCAGTTTAACCTTTTCGTCGACATTTCCATTCCACGTTGAGCTTAGACACAAGCACTTCCCGTCTCAGAACTGAGCTTTAAATCCCGGCCTGCCGGGCTAACATTTTCCATAGAAGACACGACATTCTTTACTGGTTTTAACACTCGGTGTGTGGAAGGGCTGCGACACGGTGAGGAATTGTGTTCCTCACCCTGGGGGGACGGACACCTAGGCTTATTCCTGGTCATCGTTATGCTAGCCACCAGGATACAGTTAAATCGTACCGGCCTGGGGAAACCGTCTCGTGGGAATTTCACAAGGTCACCCTGGGAGAGGATTCCTCAAGGAGTCTAAGGGACTCTTGCAAAACCCGCTGCGCTATGCCAGGCCGGGCCAGTTATCAGTGATTTATGCTAGTTTCAAAGGATGCAAAGGAAGCAGTTTATCTCCAACCTATCTGCACTTCTTAAAGGACACCGGTGCAGGACAGAGCTGGTGCTTCAGGGCAGCTCTTCTCCAATAGCCATTTCAAGCGAGAGATCTCTGCTAACCTATCGGCTTTTCTGCGCAGAGCCATCTGCCAAGACAGCTCTCCGGGAAGCCATCCGGTGCCGTTCAGCCAGTTTACCTTCCCCCACGTGGATGCTACTCCAGATTGGAGCGCTTGCACAGGGCAATCGTTCTGGAATAGCTATGCTGGCCAGCTTCCCTGGACAGACACCTCCTCGTATCATACAACAGCAAAACAACCTCTGGTCTACTCTCCAGGTTACAGAGCAGATTCACAAGCTTCCCGAATCACAGCGAGCAACGTCGGGCTCAAACGTGCCAGTGCAATTCCAATTCCCAATAATCAACCTGGCTTGCAGCAGCCTGGAGGGGGACTACACCTCCTCAGCGAGGGAGGCTGAGCATTCATCATCATTTTCACTCCTCTATGACTGCTCACACCAACAGCCCTACCCGTACAGAGAGAGGACCAGATGCCCCGAGCGAAGGTAGCTAAAGAAGACTGAGAAGCCTTCTAGGAAATAATGCCACTGCTAAGGACAAAGGGAAATCGATATTATAAAACCTAGTCAAGTCAAAGCTAAACAGTAGGTCATCCACTTTCCTGGAGCTCACAAAAACTTGTGGCCACACTGGCAATAAAACCATCAGAAGACAACCTTGGGTTTCAGCCTCTCTTCCCGTTTCCACAGCTCCAAAATGGGGTAGGAAGTAGGCTGTAAGGTTTCCAATCGCTGTATCAGGTAGACGAGGTTAACATGCTTACTTTCCCAACCAAAACAGCACAATCCTTTTTATCAATCAAGATGAGGTTCAGAACTTGAAGCCTTCAAGTGCCTTGAACCACAGAAACACCATTAAATTAGTAGTGGGTCAACCAGAGAGAGCCCTTCAAAGCCTAGCGTGCAGATCAAACACAGCCTACAAATTTTATTGCACAGAAAAACTCTTGAATGCAGTTTACAAAGTTCACCCGAGTGTCAGAGTTACCTTGAGAAAAGGTTAACTCAAATACTCCCCATTTACCTGGCTGTGGTGTTAATACAATGGTAAAGATCTCCTCCTTCAGGAAGGCTCTCACGGGGACTGAACTTTTCTACAGTACTTTGAACGAGGACATGATAAACTTCCCCCACCGCAGACTACTCCGAGTCTCCCAGCACGGGACCCCACAAAACCGGCAAGGTTGGAGCATCTTCCCACCCCTTGCACACAACCCCTTGAAAAGGTTTCCCTGAGTGCTGCAGCTGAAAGAGAGGAACAGGTTTTAGAGTTATTGAACGATTGCTTGCAACAATAAAACACGCACAATGAGAAGTTAAGAGGCATCTACCAGGAGACCCTACCACCCTTCCCCTTACGCCCCAACCAAGGAAAAACTGAAAAGCCCCAGCCTAACAATCACAAAAACCACAGTCCAGTTTTGGTTAGGCAACAAAGTGCATGCTACTCCACACAGCAGGGAGTGCACAGATACAGAAAAAACCACATCGACACGTGGCTCAGCTTGTGGTTGCCAGGGCAAAAACGAGAGGAGAGGGGAAGGTCTGTAACGCCGGCACGTGTAATTAGCAAATCAGTTAGAAGTGAATTGTAAGGCCCATGGTTAAGGAGGAGGGAGAAAAAAAAAGTCCCAAAGCTATTCACGAGCTACGGATCTGAAGCATCAATGAGGACAGCTGCAAACTGCACACAAGCATGCACCAGGCAGAACGAGCCCGGCTGCACTGGTGACGGGAATTCAAAAGCCTTGTTGATCTCAGCACGTGCATGTGCGCGAGCAAACGGCCTGCAAGATGCTCATGACCTATATCACCCACCCGCCCCTCTTCCAACACACGACCAGCCTACAGGGCTGGAGATGCCACCACAGAGGGTGCAGACCCGTGGCAGTACCTGCCGGCGGATGAATACAGAGACACAAAAAACCATTCAGCCAAAAAAGACTGCATTCACACACACGCACCCCCGGCTTGACAGGAAACAGACACATGCCATCACCAGGTGCACACATCAGGCGATAGACAGGTGCTTATCTCCAAATTGCTCCACTTCTACTTCCAGTGGAGACGGCAGAGTGAAAGAGCTCCCCAAAAAAGGTAGCAGCCCTCTTTTCTTAGGCCAGCTCGGCCACACATTGTAACCGGGCCACCCCGCATGCCCCCCGCCCCCCCCGACGCACGGCGGCGGTCCCCACCTTTCTTGAACTCCTCCAGCATGGCATCGAGCTTAGTGTCGTTGAAGACAAAGTGCAGCGGGTGGTTGTAGAAGCGGGTGATGGTTTTGAGCGGGGTGCAGTCATCAGGGTCCACGAAGGCCAGGTCCTTGACAAAGAGCAGGTCCACGATGTTGGAGCGGTCGCCCTCGAAGACGGGGATGCGGGTGTAGCCGCTCTCCATGATCTCCGACATGGTGTTGAAGTCCAGCACGGCCTCGGCGGCGATCATGAAGCAGTCCCGCAGGGGCGTCATCACGTCCTCCACCGTCTTGGTGCGCAGCTCCAGCGCCCCTTGGATGATGTTGAGCTCCTCCTTCACCAGGTCGTTGTAGGGGTCGGTGACCCGCAGCATCTCCAGCAGCTTCTCCCGGTTGTAGACCGTGCCGATCTCCTGGCCCAGCACGCAGTCCAGCAGCTTGCTGACCGGGTAGGAGGCCGGGAAGGTCATCATCATGAAGAACTTGGTGAGGAAGATGGTGTTGGCGCCCACGGCTAAGCCGTGCCGCGAGCAGATGGCCTGCGGCACGATCTCGCCGAAGATGACGATGCCGATGGTGGACACCACCACGGCCACCAGCCCCGAGCCGGCGATGTCGTCCAGCAGGATGGTGAGGGTGGTGTTGACCAGCACATTGCCCAGCAGCAGCGAGCACAGCAGATAGTTGCCCTGGCGCCGCACGGGCTCGATGCGCTTGGCGTAGTTCTTCTCTTTGTCCGTGCCGCAGTTCTGCACGATGCGCAGCTCCATGGGGTCCAGCGCCATGAGCCCCAGGTTGAGCCCGCTGAACATGCCCGAGAGGCACAGCAGCAGCGAGATGAAGATCACCTGCAGCCAGAAGGGCAGCAGGAACTTCTTCTCCTCGCCCACGATCATCTTAGTGTCCTCGCCGTCGTGGTAGATCCACGTCGTCTCCGTCCAGCCCGGCCCCTCGGCGGCACCCAGCGCGCCGGGCGGCGCCGCCACCGAGGTGCACAGGTAGTACGACTTGCTCTTCTCCGTCTTGCGCAGGGGCTTGATCTCGATCTCGATGATGCCCGACGTGCGGCGGGTCTGCAGGATGCGCGGCAGGATGATGATGTCCGACGTGCGGATGCCGCAGCGCTGCGGGGCCGGAGGGCCGGTGCCGCCGTCGCTCCCGCT